GTTTCCCAAGTTTGTTGCTTTATTTGTCATATTTTTAATAGTTTATATTTTATCTCTAATACAATTCAATTCTAGCAAGGAAAGAAAAAAATCAGATTTTTTAGGTTTTATCCTCAATTTCTTTTTCTTTATATATACCTTTAACACATTTTTATTTACAATGGCGGGCTGACAAGTGGAGTAACCACTTTGGAAAAGGAAACTAAAATAAATACAATACATTCGTAATAAATACATAAAATACAATTTAAAACACAACGGACAACCTGTGACTCTTATATGTCTGATGAAATCTCTCATATTTTAGGATAATTTCGATTCCAAAGTTAGTTTGTAGCTGTAGACGTTATTAACTTAGATAAAACTTAAAGGGTTACATGTTCCCACAAACGCCAGGCTTCTTTTAGAAGCATAAAGTCATAATTCTGGACCAAACTCTGCTTCAGTGTTTAATCTCCCAGTTTAAAGCCAGTATAGAGAAAGCTTTCTCTCAAATTGCCCAGTTGGTGTCATTAACGTTTCTGAGGACTTTTTAATTTTTTTGCACATTCAGCTTTCAAACCATGAGGGTTCCTCGACATTTTTTGCTGATAATCTGAAAAAAAGCCATGATCATGTGCTTCCTTTTGAGTTCTCGGCGTGCCAGGCTGCGAGGCGCAGAATAGAAACTCATCTTTGTCGATGGAAAACAAGGAGCTTTTTGAGCAGATGCAGAGATTTTCTCCTCCCGGTCGTTTCAGGAGAAACCAGCAGAAAGCTTCCAGGATTTGACTCTTTGAAACAAGGTTTCTGCTCAAACATTTCAGTTGTTTGGTTTGTGCTGCTGCCCCCTGCAGGTCATTTGGAGGTAGTGTGCCAGCTGCAGGGTAAGGGAGCGGAGGTCAGCTGCAAGGATAAACGAGGATACACGCCTCTCCACGCCGCCGCCTCCAGCGGACAGCTGGCTGTGGTCAAACACCTCCTCACCCTGCCTGTAGAGGTGAGACAAAATAACAGCAAAGTTAATTTAAAACCTTTTATTTTCACAAGGTTTACATTTCTGGATTTCTTTTATTTCACATTTATATTAAAAAATTATCTCCTTTGCTTGAAACAAAAACCCTTGAGAGCGAGCAGAGCTTCAGACAGCTCTAGTTTCTCTTCTGGTTGTATTTTTCGGGGCATCAGAGTAAAGGGGCTGCCCACCATGACAGTGAGACGTTTCTCTCTCCTGTGTGACACAGATAGACGAGGCCAACGCGTTCGGGAACACGGCGCTGCACGTGGCCTGCTTCAACGGCCAGGACGCCGTCGTCAACGAGCTCATCGATCACGGCGCCAACGTCAGCCAACCCAACAACAAAGGTTTCACGCCTCTGCACTTCGCTGCTGCCTCCACCCACGGAGCGCTCTGTCTGGAGTCCCTGGTCATCAACGGGGCCGACGTTAACGTTCAGGTAAACCAGCGAACCCTCGGTTTACTGGACGATAGATAACCTGCAGGATGGAGCCAGAAGCAGGGGCGGATTTAGGAAATGTGGGGCCCTAGGCAAAGACAGGCAG